GTCTAAAGACTCCTCCAGCTCCAGTGACTGATCCAGTCCTAGAGACCGTTTCAGCTCCACTGACTGGTACATCTCCATTGACTGGTCCAGTTCCAGTGACTGGTGCAACTCCAGTGAGTTGGTCCATCTCCAGTGACTGGTCCCGCTCCCATGAGCTGGTCCAGTTCTAGAGATTGGTCTAGCTTCAGTGTCTGGTCCAACTCCAGTGACTGTTCCAGCTCCATTGACTGGTCAATCTCCACTGACTGGTACAGCTCCAGTGACTGGTCCAGCTCCAGCGTCTAGTCCAGCTCCAGTGACTGGTCCAGCTCCGGTGACTGGTCCAGCTCCGGTGACTGGTCCAGCTCCGGTGACTGGTCCAGCTCCAGTGACTGGTCCATCTCCAATGATTGGTCCGTCTCCAGTGAGTTGGTCCATCTCCATTGATCGGTCAGTCTCCAGTGAGTTTGTCTGTCTCCTGTGACTAGACCAGCTCCAGTGACTGGTCCAGCTCCAGTGACTAGTCCAGTTCTAGAGACTGTTCCAGCTCCAATGACTTTTCCAGCTCATAGACTGGTCCACTTCTAGAGACTGGTCCACTTCTAGAGACTGGTCCAGCTCAAGTGACTGGTCCAGCTCAAGTGACTGGTCCATCTCCAATGATTGGTCCGTCTCCAGTGAGTTGGTCCATCTCCATTGATCGGTCCGTCTCCAGTGAGTTTGTCTGTCTCCTGTGACTAGACCAGCTCCAGTGACTGGTCCAGCTCCAGTGACTAGTCCAGTTCTAGAGACTGTTCCAGCTCCAATGACTTTTCCTTCTCATAGACTGGTCCACTTCTAGAGACTGGTCCAGCTCAAGTGACTGGTCCGTCTCCAGTGATGGGTCCAGCTCCAGTGACTGGTCCGTCTCCACTGACTGGTCCGTCTCCAATGACGGGTCCAGTTCCAGTGACTGGTCCGTCTCCAGTGACTGGTCCAGCTCCAGTGACTGGTCCATCTCCAGTGAATGGTCCGTCTCCAGTGACTGGTCCAGTTCTAGACAAGTCCAGCTACAGTAATTGGTCGAGGTCTAGAGACTCATCCAGCTCCAGTGACTGATCCAGTTCTAGAGACTAGTCCAGCTCCAGTAATTGGTCCAGGTCTACAGACTCATCCAGCTCCAGTGACTGGTCCAGTTCTAGAACCCAGTCCAGCTCCAGTAATTGGTCCAGGTCTAGAGACTCATCCAACTCCAGTGACTGTTCCAACTCCAGTGACTGGACCAGCTCCAGTCACTGGTCCGTCTCCAGTGACTGGTCCGTCTCCAGTGACTGGTCCGTCTCCTGTGACTGGTCCGTCTCCAGTGACTGGTCCGTCTCCTGTGACTGGTCCGTCTCCAGCGACTAGTCTGTCTCCAGGGACTGGTACGTCTCCTGTGGCTGGTCCGTCTCTTGTGACGGGTCCGTCTCCAGTGACATTAGGCACAGCAGTGTAATGTTCTCCAGAAGCTGAGGACACTGGTGTCCAGAGGAAACATTTCCTGTCCAGCTGATTTCAGACTAAGATGTCTCAGCAACGTTCCTCTAGTTTTCTTTCTTTAATACCCGTGCAGATGTTCAGAAGCAGAAGAATTAAATGTGGTAGCACACAGCGTTTACATTTTGAGACCAAACTCTCTATATTCTGTAAATATGAAAAGAGGAAGTCCTTCTTTGTGCATACCAAGCCTTCCAACAACTCGCTGACATGGAGCACTTCCTGTTTTAACAACAGACATGTTACTTTTTGTTAACACCTCAACTGGAAACTGTTTGTTAAGCCTCAGCCTCACAGTTAACTAGCTGTACTCTGGTAGTATTTTAGTTTTCCAGAGTATAACAAGTGAAGACTTGATACTGCAGTGCGGTACCCTTCTTTCATTGTAGTTTCTGTGTAATCAGGGGCCCCCAACACAGCAGAGCTGAGGATTTGTCGTGTCAACAGGAACAGTGGAAGTGTTAAAGGAGGAGATGAGATCTTCTTACTTTGTGACAAAGTTCAAAAAGGTAAAACCTTCTTTGATCTGGACAGGAGCCGTACATGTTGTAAAGGTGTCGTATTTGTTTTTGTTCAGGCTACATTTTCATCCTCTGTGGTCTGACTCGGTGGTTTTGCTTCTCTCTGTTTCCTCCAGATGACATTGAGGTTCGTTTCTTCTCCTCGGACGGTTGGGAGGCCAGAGGCTCCTTTTCTCAGGCTGATGTTCATCGTCAAGTGGCGATTGTGTTTAAGACTCCATCTTACTACAACACATCCATTACAGAGTCGGTCAGCGTCCACATGCAGCTTCGCAGACCCTCCGATCAGGAAGTCAGTGAAGCAATGGACTTCAGATACCTGCCTGATGACAAAGGTGAGCCTCCCTACCCGTGATGTTAAACTTGCAATTAACCATCACTCATTTACTTTGTGTGCGAGTCCTACCAATGACCTGGGGCTCAAAGATGACTCTGTCTATTACCTGGGGCTCAAAGTTGACTCTGTCTATTACGTGGGGCTTAAAGTCGACTCAGTCTATTACCTGGGGCTCAAAGACAACTCCGTCTATTACCTGGGGCTCAAAGACGACTCCATCTATTACCTGGGGCTCAAAGACTCTGTCTATTACCTGGGGCTCAAAGACGACTCCATCTATTACCTGGGGCTCAAAGACGACTCTATTACCTGGGGCACCACAATTTCTTTGTTGACACCCTGAAGGTCAATGGACTCAAATGTTTGATACAACTCTTCTCTCCTCAGATCCGTACGGTTACAATGAGAAGAAGCGTAAGTACGTGATGAAGATGTCGGGTCTGACAGGTGAGTGAAACTGTTTTCAGCACCCATGTATCTTCGGCCTGAGCTCCAAGAACATTTAACAAAGATTTCTGCCCGTCTTTAGGTGGTTTAGGTGCTAGTCTGGCACTGAGCAGGCCGAAGGCAGTGCCGCAACACATGAGGAAAGGTGAGTGGTTTTCTTCAAGTGAAATGGGACCAGATGTTAAAGAGATATTTCTGTCATTTAAACTTGAGGCTCCAGGTAAAGTAATAAAGAATTAACATGTTACCTGTTGTAGATAGCTTTTAGAACTATCAGTTTTTAGTCACAGAGTTTAATTCTGACAGGACTAATGAGCTAAAGACTAGTCTGAGCACACCCCCTTCCAAAATTCTGAAAAGAACTCAGCTCTTCCACAGTTTTGTAGCGGTTCATGCAAAAGCTTTTCTTTAAATTCCTAAAAACTCATAAAATTAAAAATCAGTTTTTTCATTATTTGGGTATTTTGGCTATGATGAAACCCCTGCAGGAAATGTCCCAGGTTACACCAGAAGTGCTACTGCTAGCTGCTGCTGCTATTTCTTCTTGCAGATAGCCACATAATTCCATGCAAACACCAGTGATGTCTTTCTGACTGCAAACGCTTTTAACCCTTTGTTGCACAACATGGGTCAAAAATGACCCACATTCATTTTCCAGGTTATTTCATGCTGACTGAGTTTTTCTTTGCTCTACCTTTTGAAATCAATTCATTTTATGATTGAATATTCCAAGTATTCTTGAAATATCTTGTTTTTAATTACCACAGAGCATTAATTTATTTTTTAATTCCCTACTTTATGGACAAAAATACTTTTTTATATTACTATGCATGGGTCATCCAAGTGTGATTTAAAATTAAATGTCTTAATACTATAATAAAAATTTGTTTCAAGTAATTACTTTAGTAGTGAATGTGGCCAAACTGTTATTTATTTAATATTTGCAACATGTTTGTCATTTTGTCACACGTACACACACCTCCTGATAACAGCTGTTGAACTGAACTTTATCTGTGGTTTAACAAGTGTAAACTGGTGAAATGTGACCAAACAAAATAAAACACAATTGAACACAAACTGCCCGGTGCACTGGAACACCAGCTCATGGCTTTTCTGTCTTTTGAAACTGTGAAGATCCTCTAAAGAAGTTAAATCTGGTCCTCTGAACGTTCAAAAAACAACAACCAAAAAAATGTAGAAACGTTTCGTCTCTCATCCTGAGAACTTCCTCAGTCTCAGGTGCTGTATTCAGATCAGTCTCTTAAATAGCACCTTTTCAGAGTGCATCAACCAGTTTGCTGCTGACAACCAGAACCAGCTGATCACATGCTCAAGAAGGACCATCAGCCTAACAATGGATCATTAGCACCTGATGGCTGTTTACTGTTCACAGAGGGCTGAGTGATACTAGCAATCACAGCATTGTAAGAGGGGGACAGTTGAACCTGGAGGCTCCACCCCTGTTTAATGATGGACGGTTTCTTTTCACAAAGATGGCCTCCTTTACTCCTCTCTCAAACCATCGTTCCTCTCTGTCCAGGATGTGAACATCTTCATCCCTGAAAGAGTGACCTCTGGCCTGGAGATGAGTGTAGACCGTAGAATCCTGGCCTGATGATGTTGATCTTCTGTGTTGGTCCATCCTTTTGGCCAGTGGCTGTTTAGATCATGCACCTCTTCCTCTGTCTGATGTCCTCGTGTAGCTGGGTGGTGGTGGTGGGTGTGTTTTGTTTTAACCCACACCTTCCCATTGCCTCAGGAACATGCTTCTGGAGTTTGGGTGTGTCCTCCATGCACCTCTTCATATGTGGCAGCTCTTTGCCCAGCTCCTTGATAAAGAGCCGGCGTGCATTACTCGCACCACCCATCTGAACAGGGTGTTGTGCACTGATGTTGGTGTAGACACCGAGTGTGGCAACATCCAGCATGTTGCACCAGAGAACCATGGGCCACCTCCCTGTTCTCCACAGACATGTGTAGTTGCTAACATTTGGTCCAGTGTGTCCACTCCTTCTGTTGTATTGTAGTACTGGATCATACTGGTTTCTTCTTCTGACTGCTGTCGTCCTGCACGGTGCTCAGCAGGACGACAGTCTTCTTCTGCACATACGTCACCGTGGTCATGTTGCTATGAAGCTCCTGTGGTTTGGATGCTTCATGATGGTACGTCAGGCTTGTTCTGGTGAAGAGTCCCAACAATGTTCAGGTTGTTGATGAGGAGCTTCTCAGCCAGAGGGACACTGGTGAAAGTTGTTCCCACCACATGCTGCATGCATGCATGCGTGTCGTTTCTGACCCGTGTGTGTAAACTTGATGTAGAATTACTAAAGCTGTGCTTGTTAATAACTTAAGAAAGGAAAAATGAAAATGATGATTTGTGCTAAACAAAAGCAAGATATTTACTGCATATTTGGAAAAGTAAATGATAAAATATATCTATTTCAAAAGTACATCACAGAAACACTCAACATACATGAAGTAACCTGGAAAATGAATGCAGGTTGTTTTTGACCCATTTTGTGCATTAGAAAAGTAGTGATACAAAAAGGGTTTTTATTCAAAAAGTAATAAAGGAAAAAATAAAATAAGGATGTATGATGATCAAAAACAAGTTAATTGAGGAATACCTTGAATACTCAATAATGAAATTGATTTATTGCAAAGATATTGAAAATAAAATCTCAGCCGGGTCACTTTTGACCCATGTTTTGCATCAAAAAGTTAAAGTAGTGTTTTCATGAACCACTGAGAAATTTTTGAGATTGAAATAGTTTTTCAGACGGGCGAATTCACTTTGGTTTCAGCTCCGTTCGGACTAGCCTTTAGCTCATGAGTTCGTCAGAAAAATCTGTATGAATTTGGGATAGCAGTATATCTACAACAGGTAAGATATTGTTGTTCAAAACTTTTCCACAGAGCCTCACTTTAAAATGTCCAGAATGTTTCTTTAAGTTGTGTTGAAATTAGATGTTGTGCAATGACACAAAATAATTTTCTTTTTGGTTCAGATCCCAGTAATGTGTACCTGAGGCAGTCCACCCCCTCAGTTTTCGGTCCGCCCTTCCAAACCAGCCTTTCGGGTTTGATGATGACATCACCTGCTCAGAACTTACAGATGAATAACTCCTGGGTCAGTCCCAGCCCAACGATCTCGATGGACACGGTCACTATAAACTCATCTGGATCCATGAGCAACCGTCCAAACGGCAGCAGACCGCAGCAGCAGAACCGTGGACCTGTGTACCGACCACAGCCCAACAGTTGTGAAAACCCCGTGCTCCCTCAGCTCTCCATGCGTGATCTGCAGTGTTTGGACACGGGTCTCCAGGCTCCGGGAATCAATCAGCCCGACTCCCAACCACTCTTCCACCTGCAGCATCAGGGGGAAGAGCTCTCCTCCGAGTCTCAGGCTCAGATCCATTTGGCCAGCCAAAACCAAGGTCTCCAGAATATGTGGCATGGCTTCAGCACCACCAGTACAGCCCAGAACAGCTTTAACGGATCAGTACCTGGAGGTGGGGGGGTGTCACAGGGCCATGGCTTATTCCCCTTACTAGAGGGAATGGAAAGGGATGAATTTCAGGTTGGAGGGACTAGTTTCCAGTTAAAGCAGGAACCACAGGTCTCAGTTGGACCAGACTCGTGTTTCTCTCAGTCCCCAAGAGAAAACCAAGGAAACACTTACACCAACTTACTGCCTCGTCCCATGAGCAACGATCTTAACCTAGATCTAAGAAGGCATGACACCAGTGGCATCATGCAGCCTCTTGCAAACCTTCAAAGTCCGTTAGCCAGTAACGGCCTGGCCCCAGAAGTCCACTACGCCACTTTGGCTGACTGGATCAAAGCTTCGCGGCAAAATGACTAAAAGTCAGTCTCGTGATTTTCAGACAGAAGCAGTTTGTTGGAGAACAAAGATTTTCTTGCAAAGGAAAACATTTGCATCGTCCATGTTGACCCAAAAAGGCTTGAATGGGGTTTGCTTGGGTTCTTCCAGAACTCAGAATAGGTCTGATGTTTGTGCAGGAAACTGGATCCATAAAAACATGTCAGTGTGGTCCAGTTTCTCAGTGTACCTTCCTCTTTACAAAGAAAGACTTAATGTGGCAGATTGTTTGTTTTATTATGAAAAAGAACTTTTCAAATATCAGGATCACTGTCCTGGCAAATCAAGGACCGACCATCAGCCGTGCTTTCTAGACTTTCGTATTTTGTGCTCAGGGATGTCTTTGTTTCACAAGTTTTTATTCTCACATATTTACCGTTTGATCAGTTGTAACACTTTTAAGGAATGATTTTTGGCTCGCTGCAGGTCATCAGCTCTGGATGAACACTCCACTTTCATGTGAAATAAATCTGACTAAACATGAAAGGTCTTTGGTTCTTGGTGAGCTGCATTTGAAGAACCCTGCGCCTGCGACAGGTCCACCATGGTTTTTTTTTTTTGTTTTTAAACAGTCTTTTCTGATTTTTTTTGATTTGTGAACATACGAACACAAAGACGAGAACATCCCGCACCGGATCAGTCCAACACAAATAAACTAAACAGGCGTTGACACGTTGTCCACATACAACGCAACAAAGTGCCATGTGTCACCAAATCACAAGAAAACTTTCAGGGTTTATCTGATTCATTTCTAGATGAATATGATGCATCACCTCTCATCTGTGTACGGCCCCACATTTCATATGAGTAATAGTAATTAAAAAAAGCATAAAAAGAAACAACAGAATATGCAAATATTACCATAAATGTCAAACATGTACCTAAAAAAGAATTAACAAAATAAAATAAAAACACACTCCCATGTTAGGTTATGTACTATATACCTGAACTTACAGTATCAGTTCAGGGTATTAACACTACACAGTCGCCCTCCAACACATGAGAGGACCCAACAGCCAAATATTCAGTCAAACACGAGCTTGAGAAAAATGCTGGTTGGTGGAGGTCGATCCTGTGGTTTCTTTGGAACCTGTTGCTGGAATGACATTCCTCTTGACGTGTTCCATCACTTGAACGGAGTTCTTGTCTGTCCCTCCATCGTGATGCGAGGCCGTTCAGGATAAAGAAGTCCAGACTGGACACCTGGTCGGTTCTGCAGGAGTCGCCTCACCTCCGTGAACGCTGTTTGTGCCTTTACCACTCCCCGGGTGTAATCGGCTGTGATGGATATGGATGATTCTTTGAAGTGGGTCAGGTCACCTCTGTGTGCTCGGTGTAATAATAATAATCATTTTATTTAAAAAGCGCCTTTCATGACACCCAAGGACACTTTACAGTAAGAACAAAGATCAACAGGAATAAATTACATAAAGAATAGAAAATACATACAGAATAGAAAATACATACAGCAAAGTTAAGGATAAGCGAGTCTAAAGAGATGTAATATATCCACACAATCTTGATAATAATGAAGCTTGGCCACGATAACTCTGGATCCTCTCCTGCCCGGCGTCCTGTCTACGGGATTGATCAGCGGTGACTTGTCCAGCTTCAGCACCTCCATTAGCTTTTTGGCTATCACTGTAAGGGTGCATGAGCCCAACAACTCTGAAACTCCAATAATTCTAATATTGTTCCGTTTCATATTACCCTCCACAGATTGAAGCCTTTTTCTCAGCCCATCCACGTCATTCTTCAATTCCACCATGGTCCTACGCAGAGCTTCCACCTCATCTGAGCACATACAGCCTCTGTAACACTTAGCTTAGGTCAAATATTTGCAGTTCAGCCCGTTTTTGAGGTTTTTTCCATTAGTGTTTTGTACCTGCTCAGCCCTCGTATTTTGGCCCCTCTTCTCAAGGGGTCCAAGCGAGCCGAGCCATGACGTCAAACACTGTCGGTCACTAATTGGTCGGGGGAGGAGTCTTTCCAAAACAACCCGATACTCCATTTTTCTCTACCGCCCACCATTAGCAATAACCCAAGGAGCATATGTTGTACATATTTTGAAGAT